TTGCTCTTGCAGCTCTGTGTAGCCATCCCTGGGATCACATCTAGGTAGCAGCATGTGGCTCTGCTCAGTTCTTGAATGGGACAAAGCTTCATTGGAGCATCTTCACTTGATACTGCTCTTTTATCTCTTTGTGTGGTAGCTTCTTAGTGAAATAAAGATTTGTAGATTAAAAACCACCACGGTATAGGGTAGGACTTCTTATATATGTTGTATCTTTAAATGCCTGTTATACTTCTTGTTAACGACCAAAGCCGTTAGGCTGTTTGTCAGTGTTCACACAGAGATCCTCAGCTTAATCTTGAACGTATCAAAAATTGTTTCTAGGGTTGTGTGGCACTTGGAAGGTGCTGCTGAGAAACACCAAGCCTCTCGCTTTTCAAACATGGTGAAGATGAGGTATTGATACCTGAAAGGCTGAATGCAATCCACAGGGAGAGAAATCCCTTGTTGCTTAGCTATAGGAAGAGGACATTTTTTTTAAAGTCACTAGAGGGATTTATGAGTTACTGAAGCGGTGGAGGCCCTGAGTGGATTCTGGCATTGCTCGGCCTGAACCTTGTTGATTTAGCCTGTCAGGACAGCCTTTTGTTAATGTGTGAAGTTATAAACAACAGCCTGAAATAAACAAGCTTGCTACGGCTTATACCTTACAATGCAAAAGTAAAACCTTTTCTCAATCTTTCTTTATTTTAGGCCAATGTGATGCTTGAATATGATATTGATGAAGCTCAGGCTCTGTTAGAGAAGAATTTGTCAACAGCCACAAGAAACCTTGATCTTCTAGAGGAAGACCTGGATTTTCTTAGAGATCAGTTCACCACTACAGAAGTCAGTATCCTTTTTTTTTCATGTGCAGGGGAAGAGGTGTATGTGCAAGCTAGCAGATGGGTAAGAACCAATTTCCTGACATGTTTTTATCCAAGACTGGCTGCCCTTAGAATGCTGTAGCCTTTTCCAGCAGCAGAAGGGGGAGCTGTGTTTCCAGCACCAAGCTGAGGGCTGCTGTGTCAGATGTAGCAAAGTTTGTGTTGGTGGGTCCCCATGAAACCAACAGCGTGGTGCCAAGGGACTGGGAGGGAGGTGGGAGCGGGGATGGGTGCTGCGGGTTGAGGGCCAGGTGGCCAGTTCATAGCAAAGTGACCCTCTCTAGAGGGGATGAATGTTGTTCTTCGGGCTGTTGCTAATCACACCCGATTCAGCTGCCGTCACAACGTTCTCCAAGCAGCACAAGCCCTGCTGCAGCACTGCTTGCTGCTAGCTTAGGATTGCTTAACTTTTTCCTTTTTTTTTCATACTTTCTACTTAAAACTGTTTCAATGATGAGGGTAGCTGTCAAATGAAGCATTAGATTTAGTAAATGAAGGCATAATGACTTGTTTTTTCAAAATGCAGCCGATACAGGCAGGCTGGCGGAAATCAAAAAAGTGTAGCTGCAACTAAAACTAAACATGTGTTTCTCTGTAATATCTTTTTGGGGTTTTTTAAGTAAATGATATAAATGATGCAGTTACCAACAGTTACTAGCATTCCTGCGTGTTAAGATTTTGCACCATCAGCTCTGTCATTAAATGGTTTCTACATGGACTGTTACAAGTAAGTCAAGTGTGGCCAACTGTATAACCTGCTTTTCTCCTTTTTTTCTTTCTTTTCTGAATGCAAGAGCTATTTCCTTAATTCCGCGCCCTCAGATATGGCTAGAGTTTATAATTGGGATGTAAAGAGAAGAAACAAGCAAGACCCTTCTAAAAACAAAGCATAGTTTTGCCAATTTTAAATGTGGTTTCAATTTCCAAATATTTTTTATTTAAACACCCCCCAAGTTCATTCTTAAGGGACTGAGTTACTGTAAGCATTTCAGTAAATGGTAAAATATATGAAACCTAATGGTGAGCACCATTTTATTTATTTGTAAACTCAAAAATTTGGTTCGTGCATGCTTCATGAAATGAATTACTTGAAAAGGCACCACACAGTCCAGCAAAGGACATAGTATTTTGATCAGACCAGTCTGTCATAAATGAATTTCTACCTGAAGGCTTGTCTGAAAAGTTGAGGGGCACATATGAAATGGGGTCTGACATTTTAGTGGGTTATGGTGATGCAGGGGGTTAATTTTTCATCTCTGTGTACAGCTGAGGAAGTTACAACTTGCGCGGGAAGACGTGTAGCTGTAAGGTTCTAGGAGATAGAAAAAATGCAGTGAAGTCTTGGATTTTGTTTCAGTCAGTTAATTGGCAGCATCAACCTGCAAGCATTCCTGGATATCCGCTTTGGATAAACTTGTCTTTAATAGTTACTGGTTAGTTAACTGCCTGTGACTGAACTCTCAGCACTTTACATACAACAGTTTGTGACCTGTCTTTAGAGCAGAGTGGTAAACGGAGCCAACAGCACAAGCGATGGCAGGACTGCAGGTGATCTCGCCCCGTTTTTTCATACCTGTGCACACACGGCTTGTTTTTGCAAATGCGTTGAACGAGGACACCAAAACGCTGATGCCTGTTAACGAGAAACCCCCTATTTACGCTCCCTTAGACAAGATGTCCGGGTCAAATGTCTTAACACTCTCAGCCTCCCAGGTGGTGAAACCTGTATGAGCTAAGGATGCTTTACTGAAGCACGACTTCTGGTGTTAACAGTCGGAATATTTTTTTTGGTTCTTATGAAGCCTTGCGAGATTGTTGCCTTTTACCTCTGCAGTTTCTTTCTAAAATGAAATGCTCAGTGGTGATGTCAGTGGCTAATATTCACATTCTGTGACTGAGAATACAGGTTTCGCTGCAAAATAAATGCAAATGTTAACTGTTTGATCTTCATGTAAGAAACAATATACCTGTAAATTTTTTGTACTTTTATTTCATGATATTAAAATAGTAAAACTGAACAGTTGTGGCAAACACCTGCTTTTATGCATTTTTCTTTGTGTGAGAAAGCCAGGAATCTGATGTGTGGTCCTTCATAATGTTTCTCTCCCTTAAATTAAGGCAGGGGGGTGAAAAAATTCAGTTGAAGCAGCAGATGTGAAAATACCAGAATACGGGCTTGAGTGAAAGGCGGGTGTGAGTCAGCGCATCTGAGTTTGTGAATACAAGCAACTGCCGGGACAGCATGGGGGCTGTGACAGATAAGAGCTGCAGGGATGGGTGTAAAACAGGTAAATCCTTACCACAAGTAAGTACCTGGGCTTGGCTCATCCGAAGGGTTCCTGCAGGGCGGTACTCTGTGCCCGTGGCTTTGGCTGTGCAAGAGGAACAGTTAGCTCACACGTACCGTTTGACTGACAGGTACCTGCCTGCTGCCGCGCTCCCTCTCTTTTGAAGAGCACCAGCGATGCCAGGGAAGGCAGCTGTGAACACCTCCTCATTTCTCTTGCAGTTTTCTCTTCGATTTGGGTTAATGAGATCCCAACAGGCTCAGGCGTGCTCCCCCCGCGCTCTGGCTGGTGGGAAGGCAGCGACTGCCTGCCTTTGTTGTGCACAATGAACTGACCAGTTCAGCATTTCCGCAGGAGCCAAACAAGTGCTGTGTGCGACTGGCCATGACCTAATGCTGGCTATGGGGGGGACAGCATTCAAGCCAGAATTGCTTGGTAGGTTGAAAAGGCACCTGGCTTTGGGGGGATGGGAGGTTTTTGTTTGATACCAAGCAAATGAAAAAACAAAACTCTTAGACAAGAGCTGAAGCTACCCCATGACTGACCCTTGTCCAATATTGCTCTGTCCTTTGCTGTTAAGACTTACATTGAGTAAGACCAGGTCAGTTTGCAGAAGCTGCTGTGACCAGTCCTGCCTGCTATTGAGCAAGGCCTCCTGGAGGGGCTACAGCTGGCTTTGGTTGGGGCTTTTTGGTGTGTTTTAGGATGGGCGTGTGTTTTAGTGTTGGTATAGTTGCACTGTCTTTCCTCAGCGAGGTGACTGGTTCCAGAGGTGGAAGCAGTGGGCCTGCAGAGAGAAATGTACAGCGGGTGCTGAGCCAGTCCCTGGTGGGCTCTGCTATGGCAGGGGTGTAGAGGTGGTACCGGTAGTAGAGAGCTTACTGGTAAAGAACGGGGAAGCAGAAATGAAAAAAACCCACCAACATTTCTTTACAAGTTTTAAATTTCACAGTATCACATAGTAACCATTTTGCTAAATACAAGCATATTTTCAGTCACATACAGACAGCTAAATACAGCATTATTTTCACATTTCGTTACAGTGCATAACAGAAAGCGAGGAAAGTGTATAGTATGCTTTTATTCTGGAGGTTCTGAGCAATTTCAATCTAACATGCAGATTGTTTTTAGATGTGGCAGAGACCACAGAAAGTTAGCTTTTGCTTTTTTTTTTTTTTTTTTCTTTGAGTAAAAATGGTTAATTTTGATTGAGGAGGGCAGAGGAAATAAGAGAGTTGGTTGAATATCACTTAGGAAGCTGGACGTGCTTACAAAGAATGTGTGCTGTGAAGGATGGGAGATAGTGTTTAAAATAAAATGCTTATCATCACGAACTCAACCCGATCATAAATTCCATATAACGACAGACACGGTTCAGTCCTGGTGCTTTCTGAGACGCTGTGGTGGTCTTTCTCCAAATTGGTCATTAAAGAGCCTAAAAGGAA